TTTTTCGGTCGAATTTATTTGACTTTTTGTCCTAGACTCTAATACATACTTAATAGCAAATACCTATACTATCTGAGTTCAGAGGCAATTATTTCTACGTCAACTTGTTCTTTTAGGAACTCTTTGAGAGCRGAGTATAGATCTGTATGGTGTTGATGTGTTGCCATATGTTAGGTACAACAACAACACTACCATCTACAACAGCATAACAAATTATGGGACAAACAATGAAAATAATAATCAGTAGATAATTAAGTAAATTGTTTCGATTTTCATTTTTGACGAATTTAATACTTTACATAGGTTGTACCTTTATTTTATTTCGATGAGTTTCATGGCCGTATTTAGGGGCGGGGTCCGGGTTCAACCCCCCCTAAATTTCATTGAAAAATATTTTTTTTAACACCTTGATAATCCTAAAAATCGTGAAATATAAAATAAATATATTTTTATCTATATTTTTTTTAAATTTTAAAGCCAAAAACAAAATAAGTTGCATTAGAAAAATTGGAATCTCCAATAAATAAAGAAAGCGCTCAAAAGTCTTATCAGTTAGCAAGTACAATTGAAGACGCTAAATTTGTTATACCACTTATAATAATTGAAAATGGCTTAAAGAAGAATCACAATCTAATACAATTTCAAAAATTGACAATTGAACATCCTTTTATTTTCCAATATATGGAAACTTTTACAAGTCTTAGCAACTATAGGTAGGTACCTATGTCAGCCGCCGATACCAGAAAGAACATTTTGTTCTTTAAAAAGATTGAAAACATATCTTAGGAACTCGACTAGTGAAACTCATATCAACGGATTAGCATTAATGTCAATTCACAGGGAAATAGATCCAGAAGAGGTGCTAAATCGTTTGTTAAATTGTTGTATATTTAATTAATTTTTTTYGTTAACTAGGTACTGTAGGTACGTAATTACAGTTAAAATAAAAACTGATGTAGGTATTTTGAATAATAAAGTAAATTTGTACTTGTATTAGTACCTAAAATAATGATATGGTTATATTTAATTCAAATTCTTAAAAATTTTGTTATAATT